TGATGTATAGGCAGGGCGCCGGGGCTCACGCCTGTAATCCGAGCACTCTGGGAGGCCAAGGTGGGTGGATTGCTCAAGGTCAGGAGTTCGAAACCAGCCTGAGCAAGAGCAAGACCCCGTCTCTATTATAAATAGAAAGAAATTAATTGGCCAACTAATATATATAGAAAAAAATTAGACAGGCATGGTGGCACATGCCTGTAGTCCCAGCTACTTGGGAGGCTGAGGCAGAAGGATCGCTTGAGCCCAGGAGTTTGAGGTTGCTGTGAGCTAGGCTGACACCACGGCACTCACTCTAACCTGGACAACAAAGCCAGATTCTGTCTAAAAAAAAAAAAAAGTGATGTGTACACAAAGGAATTCACTGCAGCCTTGTCTGCAACAGGAAAAGACTGGGAAAAAAAATCTAATGTCCCTCAGTAGGGGACTAGTTAAATAAATCATGCAACAGTTTATTATGCAGGTATAAAATAGGAGAAAGAAGTTCTCTATATATCAACATGAAAAAAGTCTCCATATTGTTAGGTGAATAGAGCAAGGTGAAGAATACCCTGTGGGTATAGTACACCATATATATTTTTTAAGACTGAGTCTATGTATGTTGCCCAGGCTGGAGTGCAGTAGTTATTCACATGTGAGATCATAGCACACTGCAGCTTTGAACTCTTAGCCTCAAACGAGCCTACAAACTACAGTCACATGGCACTACACCTGCCTAGTATACCACATTTTATAAATAAAAATGCAAGAGGGAAATAATATGTGCAATGCCTAAAGAAACTTTGGAAGAATATATAAAAAAACAAAAACAAAAACACCCAAAACTAATACATATTGGAACAAAGCAGATGGTGGAGATGGGGTCTGAGGTGTGCTTTTCACTGCTAGCCTTTTCCAAATATTTTCACATTTGGAACCATGTATGCAGTTTCAATATTCCATTTTAATTAGCTGTATGCAATAACCAAAGACATATTGAACACTCTCTGTGTGCCAGGCTCTAGGGAGGCCACAAAAGCACAATACAACCAGTCCAGAGACTTCTAGCATTTAAAAGAAAAAAAAAATCCCATTTATATAATTTCTGTATGCAAGAAAAGCCTATAAAAATTAAGTTTAATGTTAACAATATTTGTTCTTTAATTCAAAGAGAAAATATTTGTCTAGTAAGGACTGAAATGTCACTATGTGGAAATATTGGTTGAAGACTCAAGGTATGAATGCAGTACAAAGAACAATTCACATAACTGTGTGAAATTCAAGCCTCATCCGATTGCCTAGGCAGCGTGGACTACAAGCATGAAAAAGTTCAGGTTAGAACAAACAAATGATTATAGCTGTCAGTGGAAATGTACACATTAACCTAGCAATGAATTTGTCAATAATCACCCTCTATTTACTTTGTCCACATTGGTGCTTAAGCTATACTACATCAGGAAGGAGAAGACTGCCAGAAACAGAGGGCATTTATATTATGAAAGAATGAAGCAGCGATTGTGTATGTTAGCAGGGGGCTAGGAGCCTGGGAGGAGGGTTTGGATGCAAAGGTCTAGAGACCTGTGGGTACATTATAGTCTATGAAGTCAACAAAACTTTTGTGTTCAGATTCCATCAGATCCTCAGGGCACTGAAAAGAACAGAATTGCTCTAATATTTAAAAATTGCTTCCATAAACACAGGAAATTCCAAAATCAAATCTGTCTCATTGTCCTTTCAGAAAGAAAAGTCTCTTTCCTCACCTTTCAGGGCACTCAGTAAAAATCTATGTGTGACTACCACGTGTCAGGCACTGTTCTACACTTTGAGTAGCCCTGGATAATTATTTACAACCAGAGCCCTGTCTCTACCGCTGTTATCCCCAACGCACACACCTGGCCAGTTGTCTTGGGAGGTGGTGGGCAGAAGCTCTGTGGGATTCTGAGTGTATGATCGGTCAGGAAAATGTCTCCCCCATGGAATCAGTAGAATAGATTATTCCTGTGCAAACTAATGACTACCTACTAGTAGCTGCTATCTGATTTAAATTTGAATCTAGAAAATAAGTACCTTCATATTTTGGTGTCATAAGATTTTAGCTATAAGAGATCCAAAACAGAATCAAGCCCAATTATTTTATGATTCTTATGCTTATAAGCCAATACTGCATCATGTATAACAGTTCTTAAGCCAGAAAATTTCTTACAACAAATTCAGTAAGGCAGATTTGTCATCATAAATCCAGTTTACAGAATAGTTCATGTATTTTAGCTTCAACTCCTGCAGTGCCAAGGTTGCTATTGTGAATTTAAAAGAATTACGATATGAAAGTAATCTCTATGGGAAGGCACTGGAAGTTTCTATACAACTATCTATATACTCTGCTTAGAATATCTCTAATGTTAAATGTCCTCCAAATGTTCCCAGTTTAAATTTGAAAACAAATACAAACTTCATATTTTACTAGCTCTTATTTAGAGATTATAATAAACATTGTATTTATTATAATATATGTCATATGCCTCAAATAATGCTGGACTCCTATTAGGTGTATGGTCACCCACTATGCAAATAACAAAAGAAATATAATAAGGGTTATTTATTCTAATCCCTAAATAAGATATATAGTGTTATTAAATACTATATATTATAATTGATATTATATATGTGTGTGTTTACATATTATATTATAATTTATATTAATATTTTATTATAATATATGCCATATTATAATTTATATTACACATTAATATATCATTATAACTTATATAGGTATATATAGTTATAATTGATGTTATAATTAATGTTTTATATTTATATATAATATATTTATGTTATATGATTTATATTACATATTAATATAATATTTGTAAATGTTATATTGTATAACACGTACTATAATATGTACCTAATTTCAGGATTAGAATAAATACTCTTTAGTATATTTCTTTATTGTTTCCATAGTGGGTAATCACACACCTAATGGGGGTCCAGTGTGCCCTGAGACAGGAACATATTTAAATCTATTTAGCACTTGCTGGTTTAAACAACTGGCTTCAAAGCCCACCTCTGACTCTTAGAAACCCTGTGTCCTTGGGTAAATTATTTACTCTTATCTGTAAAACTGGGAAAATCATAATACTTAGTCAGAGCACTGTTATAAGGATTAAATGAAGTAATTCCTTCAACAAATTACTGAGGGCCTATTATGTGCCAAGCATGGTTAGGCACTGGGAGAAGAGTGAATGAATGCATGTACAGGACATTCAATAAACCTGGATTGTTTTTATGTAAAAGCACATACACACAGGCTTGGGGTACATAGGATTTAAAGAAGTTTAAGGCTGCAGAAACAGGACTGAATTATTTATCAGGCCTCTAAGATGATGAAGTTGAAATGCTGATGAACATACAATAGTGTCCAATTACAAGAGAGTATTGTCTCACTGAGGCAGGATTGCTTGAGCCCACGAGTTTGAGGTTGCTGTGAGCTAGGCTGATGCCACAGCACTCTAGCCTGGGCAACAGAGTGAGACTTTGGCTATAAATAAATACATACACACATACATAAATAAATATCTGTAATCATGGTTTAGTCTTCTGCTTTTTAAATCAGGATGTTACTCCTAGGCTATCTGAGGCATAGAATGTGGTAGGAGAAGCCAGAATAATAAAATGTATCTTTCTGAAGCATCCATTTCCCTCCAGTTTTTCATATTGAAACCAACAAGGACTTATCATGGAACAGAATGCAAAAATCCACTTGATTTGCTACTTGCTTTGGCCTCTTCAGAGCATGTTGGGGGGATGGAGGCTCCTGCCTCATGAAGACAAAGGTTAGCATCATGAGTGAGGAATCGTTTTCCTATCTCTTCACATTCTTGTCAGTTGACAAGGGGGTTGGAATCACTTTTATATATGGTTTTAATTTTTTGCTTATTTTCTAACTTTTTATTGCTTTCTTTTATCCACTGAAGCTAAAAAATAAATTAACACACACCACGAAAATAATAGCAACACAACATATTTCTGACTAAGACACACTGGCTGAGCTGCGAAACAGCATTCATGACAATCCTGTGCTCTCTACCACAAAATCAGAGAGGAGGACATTTCTGTTGTTGCGAAAGATAGCACAAGGTGCTGAGAGAAGACCTGCGAAAAGGAACTAACTAGAGCATAAAACTCCCCTCAAAGTTAGCCTTGCAGAAGACTGTAAACCAGCCTGAAGGAATTTCCTTAACCTGCAGAGCTTTGCTCAAAATCTAAGAATTCGGCTGTAAAACCCAGTCGTTCTCTGATTCATGTATGTGCTTTCACACTTCCCACGGTACAGTACTTAGCACTTTCTGACGCTATCTTAACCATCTGTATCTCGTGTTTATTGTCTGCCTGGTTCACCCTCAACCTCCACCAGCAGGGCCACTCGTATCTCCAGCATCTAGCCAAGCACCGTGCTACTACATAGCAGATGCTCGCAATATCCTTGCTGAATTTCTTTGTAAGAGTCAGTGAGGACCACTTGTTATCACATATTTCTCAAGAAATAGTGAAGCCCAAAAAAGTGTACGTGACTTCTTCACGAAAGTGTACGTGACTTCTTCAAGAGTGCAGGAACCTATGTACGTCACGGAGCGAACGCTCGCCTGCATTCTCCGCATCCTTTGCCACCTTGGACGCTGACGCGCTGACGGGAGGGCGAAGGGGCGAAGGCCTTGACGGGACTGTCCAGCGCCGCGGCTAACCGCGCCGGGCGCGTAGCGCCGACTCCCCGCGGCCGCGCCGCGCCCCTGGCCGTCCCGCCGGCCGCGCACGTTCGGGCAGCTAGCGCAGCGGGACGCGCCGGGACTGCCGCGCGCACGCTCGGTCGCGGCGGCGCCGCTCGGGGGTTCGGGGGACACCGCGCTTCGCCCGGGTTCTGCCCACCCTCCGGGGAGGAGTCCGCCCCCTGCCGGGCGCGCGGTGGGCACAGGGCGCGCCTTTTGGACCTCCCGGGAGGCGAGCCCGCCCGAGCCCCGGCTCACCGCTGTGGAACCTGCTGCTGTCGCCGGCCTTGTTGAGGGTGCTGCTGGAGCAGCCCATCGCGGGGAGCGCAGCCGCCTGTCCCAGCGCCGCGTGGACGTCGGCCCCTGAGCCCGCGCGAACCGCACCCGGAGCCGCCGAAGTTTTCCCAACTCCGCAGCCCGGCTAGCTCGGGGCACGGCGCAAGCGCACGGCGCAGCGAGAGGTAGCGGGTGGCGCACCTGCAGGGGCAGGAGAGCGGGAGCTGGAAGGAGCCAGGGAGGGCAGAGCGGAAGACAGCCCCAGCCAGTGGAACCCAGGACCCAGGTGGGGAGAAGACGGAGGGTATGGTAAAGGCAGAGAGGATAAGCCCCTGAAGCAGGGACAGGAGTGATGTCAGGGGGCGAGGGCGAAGTGGAAGTGCCAGGAGGTGTCATCTGAATCATCCATCACTAAATAGTCCGGGATGGGAGGAGGCGGCTGGGCTAGTGGCTATTGATTGGTAGACTGGATGTGTGATGACTGTCATCTCTTACATAACTATAGTACAATTACTACAAGGAAGTTTAACATTGATACAGTACTACTTAATCTACCCTCCATATTCAGCTTTCGTCATTTGTCCAGTGCAGGACTGTACATTGCATTTAGTTGTCCTGCCTCTCTTTAGTTTGCTTTAATCTGAAGTAGTTTCCCCAGTCTTGCTTTGTCTTTCATGAACTTGACTTTTCTAAACAGGCTTTTTTTTTGTTTTGTTTCTTTTTAGGAGAGAGTGTCTATGTTGCCCAGGCTGGATGTCGAACTCCTGAGGCTCAAGAGATTCTCCCGCCTCAGCCTCCCCAATAGCTGTACAGGCCCATGCCACGTGCTTAGCAGGCCATTTATTTTGTAGAACATTCCTCAATTTGGGTTTGTCTGATGTTCCTCATGATTTTCTTCAGGCAATGCGAGTATGGCTGGAATCACAGATGTTACATTTGTGTATTCCTAGCAAGAGGCATCATGATTTGTCAATTTGTTCTTGTATTGGGGATGTTAACTTTGATTAGTTAAGATAGTGTTCACCGAAGCTTCTGCCTCTATAAAGTCCTATTGTTACTTGTAAGTTTTATGGGCGAGGACTGATAAGCTAAGTAAATATCCTGTTCCATCAAAGACGTTTATCTGCTACTTTTACATACTGATACTCTGCTTGGATCAATTAGTTATTAGTATTATGAAGTTACTCGGAAGTGGTGATTTTTCTGAATAACATTAATGCCTCAGACCATTTATTGGAGGTGGGCATTCTACTATTAAGGGAAGCACTTTTCCCTTTTCCTCCAGTTGTATTGTATTGTATTTATTTGAGACGTGCTCACTCTGGTCCGGGTAGTAGTGCCATGGCATGGAGCCCTCTCCAGCAACCCTCAAACTGCATGTGGCTCCCAGCAATTCCTCCTCGCTCAGCCTGCGAGTAGGTCTAGGGAGCTACAGGCATGTGCCACCCCATGCCTGGCTGAATTTTTTTCTATATATTTTTAGTCTGGGCCAAGGTACTTTCTTTCTATTTAGTCAGAGACAGGGTTTCTTTGTTCTTGATCAGGCTGGTTTCGAATTCCTTTACCTTGAGCGATCCCCCTGCCTCCAGCAATCCCAGAGTGCTAGAATTACAGTCATAGCCCACCGTGCCTGGCCCATTTATATGTTTACTTTATATAATAAACACCATGAATTCACATTATTCAAGCAAGGCATGTACCCATTTGTGATAGTTTGCAAGGGTTGCTGTAACAACACCAGCAGACTGGCGTGGCTTAAAATGCAGAAATTTATTTCATCACAGTTCTGGATGGTTAGAAGTCCCAAATCAAGGTGTCAGCAGGTTGGTTTCTTGAGGAAGCTTCCCTCCTCAGCTACGAAAAGTAGTATGCTTCTTCTCCAAAGTCTGCTCACTTGGTCTTTCCTCTGGGGCCTGATCTCTGTGGCGTCTCTCCTCTTATACCAAGACGATGAGTCATATTGGGATTAGGGCTACACCCATTCGAGCCGTCATTAGCTCTTCTAAAGGCTGTATCTCCAAATACTGCAATCACATTGAGATGTACTGGGGGTTAGGATTTTAACACGATGAAGTTGTTTGGGGAACAGTAATTAGCTTGCAGGACAGCCCACCTTCTGTGCTTCACACAACAGAAAGAGGAATCTCGTCTCTTCATCTTTTGTATAAGGCCACAGCCCTATTTACTTTTAGACGCCTATGCCTTTTTATTCTTTTTATTTTATTTTTTTTTTGAGACAGAGGCTCGCTCTGTTGTCCAGGCTAGAGTGATACCATGGCGTCAGGCCTAGCTGCACCACACGCAGCGAACCTCAGAACTCCTGGGCTCGAGGATCCTTCGTGCCGCACTCGCCGAGTAGCTGGGACTACAGGCATGAGCCACCGGATGCACGCGGCTAATTTGGTTTATATATATATATCAGTTGGCCAATTAATTTCTTTTAGTTTATGAGTAGAGACGAGGGTCCCTCTTGCTCAGGTTGGTTTTGAGACTCCTGACTTGAGCACTCCGCCGCGCTCAGGCCTCCCGAAGAGCTAGGAGTTCACAGCGTGTGACCACCGCGCCGGCCAGCCCTATCCTTTTAAAAAAAGAAAAAAATTTTTTAAAAACACCATTCTCACTAAATTCTTAACGAGCTATCCTTAATTACTCTTAAATTGTCTCCAGATACAGTTACATTGGGGTTAGGGCTTTAATATATGAACATGGGCAGGGGGGGACACAATTCAGTCCATAGCAAGCTCCCACTTCTAGGGTTCCTTTGTAAAAAAATTAGTCACATTTAATTTTATTTAAATAGTGAAATTTTTAAAAACTCCATTCTTCCCCAAAAGAGATGCAGTAACTCAGAGATTAGTTAAATGTAAACTTGTAACTTGAAATTCTCTGAATCTTAACACTTTCATGTAAACCAGGGCTTACTGAGCCCAGTTAAATTTCCCATTTTCTCCATCCATTATCTTTTAGGAGTTGCCTGGTATATATCACTTTTCCTCAGGAATGATTTGTCAGTGAAGTTATGGTATCTTCTGTGTTCTTCAGAGGAAGCATTTTATAATCAGGTGAACAATAATAATCATACCCTCAACACCATGTGCTTCCCCTTACCGAGGCTTACCTGGCTGAGTTCCCACTTTGCAAGCTGCAGTAGGAGTGACCAACTCTAAGTCTCTGAAATGATACCATACTTTGAAGGGGACCTGTCAGTCACTTCATGGAAGATAGGCTGGATTTCTTTGGAGACAATAGATGATCTTTACTGTAGGGGATTTGCTTTTCCTGCCTGTCATGAATCTGCCAGTCTTACCCAATAGTGGACATACCATTAAGACATTATATCCAGGCCAGGTGTGGTGGCTCACGCCTATAATCCTAGCGCTCTGGGAGGCCGAGGTGGGAGGATAGCTCGAGAGGTCAGCAGTTCAAGACCAGCCTGAACAAGAGTGAGACCCCGTCTCTACTAAAAATAGAAAGAAATTGTCCAACTAAAAACATATAGAAAAAATTAGCCGGACATGGTAGCACATGCCTGTAGTCCCAGCTACCACGCGCTGAGCGGAGGATGCTCGAGCAGGAGTTTGAAGGTGCTTCTATGGAGCTACGGCTGATGCCACGGTACTCTAGCCTGGGCAACCGAGTGAAGACTCTGTCCTCAAAAAAAAAAAAAAAAAAAGACAATTATACCAGTACAGGTCAGTCCATCCATAATCTGCAGTTATACATCATGGACATTACACCGACTACAGATTTACAAAATATACACATGGCAGAACAGAATAACAAAAAACAAATAACACACACCCTTCATACATTCTACAATAACATTTTACATGCATCACAATAATACATTATAATTCACATCAAATCCATACTTCAATACAAGATACATTTAGCGGCTTTAAGATATACACACGGAGGACTAGTGCCTAGGCCTACCATGAACAATTAACCATTTTATGCTAAGGGACTACAGCATACATGGATTTTGGTAATCCTGGGTGGCGGGTCGGAAAATCCCCACAATACCAAGGTCAACTGTACTGCTTATATCACAAGACACTCCCTTTATTGATCGAGCGACAGCAAAGTAATAGGTTACATTATACTGCATTTACTCTTTATTTCGATTACATTACTCAACAGAACAGCCAACTATAGATGCGTGGACAGATGGACCGGCACATTACATACTCAAATTAATGGCACTAGCGCAAGGTAAAAGATTGAGGTGCTGTCTTGTTGATTTTTATGTGTGTCTGAATCAGCACTAATAAATGGTCGCTCTCTCTCTGACCGTATACACAAATCTGGTCTTGCTCTCCTGGATTCTTTCTTGTCCATTTGCTTTGAACTACAAAATAAATTCCTTTTCTTCTAGTGAGACTAATTTTGTTTCTGCTGGCTTACACCACAACTCCAGACTAATATACACATGCTTACCCTCTTCCTTTCTTCTCTAACAAATACCTTGTTCTAATCTTTCTCTTAGTCTTATTTGCATAACTAAGTTTGGTAATACCAGATCATAATGCTATGCTGATTTTAAAAGCTGGAACTATCTTTTGAGCAGTAAGTTCATAAATCTTTCCCCGCAGACTCTTTTATCATTTTTCTTCCACTCCCTGTTTTTGTTACAAAATTAGATTTATTATGTAGTTTCTCCATTTAAGTATCAGTCATTTTCTGATCAGCATAACATGCAGTGTTTTACGACATTTAAGTTGATTTATTCTGGTTAAAACAAAAAACTTGTTTTAGGCCTGTGCTTTCCGCTTTTTTAAAGGACAAAAGTACATAAACTTTTCAATTATTGATATGTTAAAATGTACCTACCTTTTGTGGACACTTAGAAGCAGAATCCCAGTTATAATGTACTAAAATTTCCAAACTGACTTTAAGAATAGTAAATCCAAGACGAGTGTTAAATAGGTACCCTACTTACTTTGACACATTACTATTTTACGCTCCCACAGTAAATATGAATAAAGTACTTTGGGTATCTTTGTATCCAAGAGTATCAGCAGAGCACATGCTTCCCTGGATGAAAAAAACGGAGAAAGTGTTTCTCTGGCGCTATTTTCTAGTCATCCAGACATTTGTAGTTTTAAAGCCAGAAAGCAAAACTGTTAAGTCTGGAGCACTCCCAGTCTGAACAGGAAGGAACATAGGAGAAATAGTTTAGATTCTTTATTATTGTGGAGGTAGAAACAGAGGAGATGAGTAGGTAACCTTCATTCCTTCTTGTCCACTAAAGATTCAGAATTCTTGTGTTTTAGTTAGTTGTAAGGCCACCAACATTCACTTGAGTTTACAGGGTCATTTCACTTGGATTCCTTGTCCCTTGCTCTCCCTACCATATTTGTGAGCATATATAATATCCAGGGTTGACTGGTAAGAATGTGAAGGGTGTTAAATAAATTGAGTTCTAAATCACTAGAGGACTGCTTCCTCATCTAGACACTGAATAGCTGATGATAATGAGTATGATAGTTTTAACTACCTGACAATAAGGAGATAGGTCAGTGCATTAAACCAATGAAAGTGAGATGAACTGGCTGGGCACAGTGGCTCACACCTGTAATCCTAGCATTCTGGGAGGCCGAGGTGGGAGGATCACTTGAGCTCAGGAGTTTGAGACCACCCTGAGCAAG